GTATCTTGCCGGTACTTAGCTGCGGAGCAGAAACCTGGACACTTACAAAGAGGGTTTAGCTTAAATTGAGGATGACGCAGCGAGCAATGGAAAGAAAAATGGTAGGTGTAACCTTTAGAGACAAGAAGAGAGCAGAGTGGATTAGGGAACAAACGGGGGTTAAGGATATCATAGCTAAAATCAAGAAGAAGAAATGGACATGGGCAGGGCATGTAGCGCGTAGACAGGATAACCGCTGGTCATTAAGGGTAACTGACTGGATTCCCAGAGAAGGGAAGTGGGTTAGGGGGAGACAGAAGGTTAGGTGGGCAGATGAGATTAAGAAGTTTGCGGGTATAAATTGGCAGCAGCAAGCACAGGACCGGGTTAACTGGCGGAACATGGGAGAGGCCTTTGTCCTGCAGTGGAGGTAGTCAGGCTGATGATGATGATGATGATGAAAACGCAGTCTAAAAGGCCCTTCTGTTTGACCAATGTACTGTATTTCACATAGCGCACACTCTATCATGTGTATCACGTTCTTAGAATCGCAGTCAAGATTGCCTTTGATTTTTAAGGAAAAGTTGGAACCAGTACTGGTGACCTGTTGGCATGTGCGCATGTAAGGGCATACTTTGCATCGCGGTTTTTGGCAAGGATGGCACCCGATCGTGTCAGGACTGTTTGCTTTCGATGATGATGACGATGAGAGTATGTCTCGAATAGTTTTAGCTTTGCGATACACTGCTTTAGGTGGTTCGGTGAAAATGTTTCTTAAGCGTTCACTTTGCATTAGAATATTGTGGTGCTTTCTCAGCACATTCGAAACACGCGGAACTGACGCAGAATGGGTAAGGACTAAGTTTGTCTGCGGTGAGGGAGTCGAGTTTTTAGCAGCGCACAACAGCGTTCTACGATTATGCATGTCGGCACGTTTTATTGCGTCATCAATTAATTGCGGCGGATATTTTTGTTTGACTAGACCATCCTTTAGTGTTCTGCAATTTTTTTGAAACTCTGATTGCTCTGAGCAGATTCTTTTAAAGCGTAAGGCCTGACTGTAAGGGATGCTAGTTTTGCAATGTTTCACGTGGCTACTGTCAAAGTGCAAATACTGTTGCCGGTCTGTAGGCTTCCTGTATAAAGCAGTGGATAGCTTATCATTTACAATTGAAATGCTTACATCAAGAAAACTAAGAGTTGATGTGGAATAGGTATGAGAAAATGATATTGATGGATGGGCATCATTAAAGTCAGATATGAAGGAAAGCAACTCCTGTTCACTATGCGGCCAAATAAGGAAAATGTCATCAATGTAACGTTTATAATAAAAAGGTTTCAGCGCGCGGGTTTGCAAAAATTCACTTTCAAGCTGGCCCATGAATATATTGGCGTAGTTGGGTCCAATACGCGTACCCATTGACGTGCCGCTAACTTGAACATAGTGTTGCCCTTCAAATTGAAAGTTATTTAGCTCTAAAATGAGCCTGAGCAATACTGCTAATGTGTTGCTGTCAATAAATTTACCCGGTGATGCTGCTTCATAGGACCTGGCGACTGCCGCTATTCCGTCTACATGCGGAATGTTGGTGTATAAAGACGCTACGTCTAGCGTGACCAAAAAGGAACCTTGAGGAACAATCAGATCAATTATACCAGAAACAAAGTCGGTAGTGTCCCTTACGTAAGATGGAAGCAATGCTGGGATACTGCTGATCAGAGAATCGACATAGCTGGACAATTTTTCTGTGACAGTACCTATACCTGAAATAATGGGACGGCCGGAGTTGTTTATCTTGTGTATTTTACGCGGTTTTTGACACGATCGGGTGCCATCCTTGCCAAAAACCGCGATGCAAAGTATGCCCTTACATGCGCACATGCCAACAGGTCACCAGTACTGGTTCCAACTTTTCCTTAAAAATCAAAGGCAATCTTGACTGCGATTCTAAGAACGTGATATACATGATAGAGTGTGCGCTATGTGAAATACAGTACATTGGTCAAACAGAAGGGCCTTTTAGACTGCGTTTTAACAACCATAAATCTCATGCTAACACCTTGCCCTACTTGCCCATTTCAAGACACGTGCACCTCCCTGGCCACTCTTTTGAAAACCTACAAGTCACATTACTAGAATCTGGTTTCCGCACAAATTATGATAGAGAAGCCCGTGAATCATTCCTCATCTATAAGTTCAACGCCGTCGCATCTGGTCTGAATGAAAACGTAGGAAAACTTAGTTGCTTATCTGCGTAACTTGTATCACCCTGTCCAACTTTTTTCAACCTTGCTCAGCAAGTCGCACTACATTGTCTGTATCCGTTGATTACGTAGCAGCTTTGTAATGTCTTTGTCATTTTTATTAGTATTTTAGTTTTTTTCTTCTCTTGCTTTTACCGGTCGGACTACTCTTCATGTTATGTGCTTTATCTTTTATGCGTTTCATCTTTTATTTGTAAACAACGTGCTCGCGCATGGAAGCAATATCTTTTTACTCGTAGATTAGGTACTCTTTATATTGTGTGACTTGCATATATATATATATATGCCCATATATAGCCTTTCATGTCGGTTTTGACATTTGTATCTTACTGATATGCACATGTATATAAACAGCATTCGTGCCATAAACTGTATTCTGATGAAGGCCGGACCCACGGCCGAAACGTCCAATAAAATAACTTCGTACGTGCGTCTTCTTTCCTATACAAATAATATTTCCCGGACCCAGCATCACTTTTGTTTTTGGTATATATATATATATATATATATATATATATATATATAAAGAAATGAATGCATCCCCACGTGGAAAATAATTCGCACAGTACTATAAATAAAAAAAACACAAACTTCAGCCAGTTTGTTGAGACTGAATTTAGAGCCACTACGTTTTAAATAGTTCCAATAGCATTAATAATGCAGTGATGAGTTGTCGTACAAGCGAGATCAAGATGAGGATCTTGTGTATCTTGAATTGCTTCAATCAGACAGCCTAACTCGCCACGTTCATCTAATGGAGTGCCTGTGTGAAGAACCATATACCTTCAAAAAATTAACTGTTGGGTTTAACTTTGACGTATTACCGCAAGTCAAGGGGTGGCACACCTGGACCGTGCCCCCCCTCCAACATTTTTTTCGCCATGGCATACAGAGCAAAAAATGATCATTTCAAGAAGATGCGCTCCCCAAAATCATGCCGGCCCTCCTGAAAAAATTTTCTGGCTACGTGTTTGTCGCTAGCATATCAGATTTTACTTTACTTTATGCCCAACATTGGTCTAACAGCGTACATATACACATGCATTTTTTTAAGAGAAACCGAGAAAAATGTAGATTTTTATACTGCTAACATCGTTAGGTTTGCTCCAATAATTTTTTCGCCAGCGTGCCCACGTCTCCAAAATACCTCAGAATCTACATATATAGGCCACTATCGTCCATATTCAGGGGTAGATTTGGATTTCACTGGGATGAATCAGCCTGTAAAAAAGTAAATAGCAGCGAATTAATGATCTAGATACAACTCTTTATTCTTAATCTAGTGTGGTTTTACGTCCCAAAACCACAATAAGATTATGAGGGAAGCCGTAGTAGAGGGTTCCAAAAATTCAGACCATCTGGTCTGGTGTTCTTTGATGAGCACTGACACCGCACAGCAGACGGGCCTGAAGCTTTTTTGCCACCATAAATATGTACTCGCCGCGGCTGGGATCGAACCCGCGACCATGGGGTCAGCAGTCAATCACAATAACCACTGTTTCACCAAGGCGGACCGTTGTTAATAATGATCATATCTTGTGTTTTACGTGCTAAAACCACAATATAATTATAAGCCAGGCCGAAATGGATGCATGGCTAGCATATTTTGAATCATCTGCGGTTCTTTAACATGCAGTCACGTAGCATAGTACACGGGCCTTAGTCGCGCGGCCGGAGTAATCTTGTTTCCTGTGTTCGTTGTATTGCTTGCGATAATGTGTGTCACTTATTCATAGACCACTAATCCAGCTAAAGTAATGCGATCTATTCACGTGACCAAGACAGCGCACTGATCTGAAACACGTGATATTACCGGCGCAGAGAGCTCACAGATACAGCTGAAGGGAGCTTAGGGAGAAACACCTGTGTGGCCGATAGCTAGCGCCACAGCCGATGTGGCGGCTGGAAAGGTAACTAGCGCTCTCACAGGCAAAGAGGAGCATTCGGAGGGTCGCACCAAAGGTTGAGATCAAGCGGCCGTGGCACTGAGAGGTGTGCAACTGCTACTGCCCATCGCTCTGTTATTTTTAATGTAAAGTTGATAAAATTTTATAAGTTGCTTTAATGGGGACTTTTCTATGCATTTTGTGAATTTGGCAAGAAAATACAAGGTGGTTATAAAGGTAATAAAAATAAATTATTTTATGTTTTATGTATATTTGATTGCTAAAATGGCGAAATCTTTTCAGGTTATTACGTGTGCCCAGGGCATTCTTCTGAACCAAAATAATAATTGTAGGCATAACCATTCTTTAGTTAAAAATATAAATGTCTTATGACTAGAATTTTAGGGCCGTTTTCTTTTTAAAAAAAACTTTCGTAAAAAATACAACTCTGGTGGCAACAACATTCTATTGCTTCAGAAAGGGTGCATGGTATTCAGAAAAGAAACACAAAAGTTTGCATTTGATGGCTTCAGCGGTTACAGATGAAATGTTGCTTTTCTGACGACAAGTAGTGTTCAGAGAAAACTCCATTTAAAGGTCGAGTTGCTGCGGTGCAATCATGGGATAAGGCGCATTTGGGGCCATTCCCAAGGAATTTTCACTGCGCTTAAAAGCTTGCCACTTCAGGAAAGCACTTGTCAGTAATGCTGGAATATTTTGCCATGAAAATTGAAAAATCACATTTTCAATCGTCTTTGCTCTTTATCCACCCTTACGCTCATGCAACTCTCACCTAGCAGTATCATTCTGTGTGTGTTTACACTTTGTGTTGGTGTCTGAAAGTATCTTGCATGACTTTTTCTTTGGCAGCATGTCATCGGCACAGCACTCAAACGACTTTTACAGCCAGGGCAAGGCGTACTGGGAGACCATTCCAGCCACCATAGATGGCATGCTGGGCGGCTACTCTGAGATCAGCAGCATAGACATCCACTCATCAAATCGGCTACTCAAGCATTTTCGTCAGGCAAGGCAGATTCAACAAGTTATTGTCGGTCGTCCCTGTCGGAGTGTTCACAATACCTTAGATTGCCTCATAAATTTTCAGGTTTAACTGAAATATTTTCTGAAAAAAAAAAAAACAATGTTTTTCTCTATTTTTGATTCCTTCGGGCATTTTTTTAATGTACGTAAAAAAAATTAAAGCTGAGAATCAACCAGAAGTTATCGAAAAATGAAGTGAAAGCATTTGCAGTGTAAGTGTGAAGTTTACTTTATTTATTTATTTATTAGAATACCCTCAGGGCCCGTAGGGCATTACAGAGGGGGTGGGTACAACATTTATAACACACAAGAAAAAAAAGACAAAATAAAGAAACAAGTGTCAGATGCGCAAATTTTTTGCCTGGGGTATTTCGCTCCACAGTGTTACCTGCTCTTGAATTTTCATGGGAATGTGTGGGCCCAGGGCCCACTTAGCAGTGTGGAATCCTTGCTCATAATAGAAAAAAAAAATTGTTTTTCCACTGCAGTGTGTGGGATCTCGATGTGGGGAGCTCCACCACGCTCTTGGAGTGAACGGACTCAGCAGACACAGTCGGAACAAATTAAAAACAACAACCATTTAACTACTTTCAGATACGACGATATTGTCAGGCGAATTACTATAACATCAATCGTGATCAACATGCTAAGACAACCTTACACAGTAATAAACAACTCTCAACAACGTGACAAACAAGGCGCTGTTGCTAACGCCTGACTCGCCACAAGGGCACCTCGCAAGACGGCTCGCGGTGCCGTGCACCGGGTTCCCATTGTGAAAGACAACCGTTCACGCCAACTGCCACGTGCATAAGAGACTCGCTTCTTTATTCTATGCCACCACCTAGACAAAAAAGCCAGGTGTTATTGCTGGTACTGCCGATCTAACAACCATGATGATGATGGTGGTGATAAACGCTCATGAGCACAGCGCCACCTACCGCTCAATAGGAAGCTAAAGCAACGCATGGTGGCGCTGCGACTCCGGACAGGCAGCGCTATCTTTGGTAGAAAAGTAGGAATCGGGGATGTAGATGACGCGTTTTCCCTTCGCTCCAATGTGCTGCCGTTCACTTACGTGCTTGTGCAGAGAGCTGAGTCACCTCACAATGGACCACCTGCAGTGCGGCTTCACAAAGATCTCTGAGCTGGACAAGTACTTCCGAGAAGCAAATCGAACAAAAAAAGTAAAGCTCTTTAGTCAAGTTTATGATGTGGAGCAGACGATGGAAGAGGAGGACGTCCAAGTCGCTGCGAAATGCATTTCTCGGGTCCTCCCTGATAATACCGTGTACGACGCATGCCTTGATGTGAGTCTCATTCTGCCGACTTGAAGCCGCGTACTCTATCCATGTGCTTTGTTGACGCTGATGGAAACCATATAACTGTTGTTTTGATGTGATATCTAGCAGCGGCAGCTTTGTACTGTCATGTGCAAATGTCTGCGGCATGCTGAAAAAATAAATAGAAACTAAAGTTATACGGTCATGGCATTAAAATGTCCGAGAACTTTTAGAGTCATGTCCTCCGCGCCGCGCAGGACCCGCTGTCGTCGCCGCGAAGCAGCAAGCTAAGTTTAATCACAGCGAGTCAAGTTGAAGTGCTCGGCTTTTTTTTTTTTTTTTTTTCCGGCTCTCGTGTCATGCTTGTTCTATTTTTCGCGAATGCGGCTGTGTTCGCCGGCTTTGACTAGATGGGAAACTGATCAGCTTTACACGTGGAGAGCGTTCCTTGGTGTTTTCTGCATTGTTGTGGCAGCCCACAACACAACACTTTAGACCTCGCTGACGCTTCTGTTGGGCTGCTTCTTCCATTGTGGAAAGGCAACTTCGCACAGCGAGCGCGTCGTTTTAGCGCGCCAAGCTGACGGCCTGGTGCCCAAGTTTCCCGCAGTGACTGCAGAGCGCGTTGCGCGCGTGTCGCCTACACTCCTGTTTTGGTGAAACACACTCACTCGCCCGTGACCTCTCCCGCGTCTCTCCTGAAGTGTTTCGGAGCTCGCCGCCAGGGCCATGTGCGGCATTGTCATCGCTCCGCAAACTTGAGCTTTGGTTCACTATAGTTGCGACCCCGAAATGCGGCCTATGCACGAGACATGTGCACCATACAGTGCAAACAACTTTACAATGGGTGTCAGCACCCCCACAAGTTTAGCATCACAAATAGCCCTTTTAAGTAATGTGATTCGATGAAAGCCCTGCCATTGGTTGCAAGCATTCTGGTATCCATCCAGACTGTTTCTTTATTCTGCTGTTTTGCAAAGACGAGTCGCGTTACTGATAGACAGCACTATGTATGGTTTTCACTAATTCTTGGTGCACAAAAATTGACCAAATGAGTTGTGAAAACAAGTTGAAAACTGAAAAACTGATTTCTAAAGAAAGAAATCTCGAACGCTATTGATGGTGAAAGTTTCATTGAGTTGTCGCATATAGTATAAGTCAAAGATTTTTTAAGGAGCATCCCCGCCTTCAAGAAGGGCTGACATAAAAATTGTCAGTTGTCATTTTATTGAACCAATTGAAAGGCCGAGCCCTCCAGAGCCCACAAAATGTGCCAGCAAGGATGAGTGTGCCTTCGGAATATTGACACTGTTTTGGTAGTGCTGGTTCTTACTCCACCTTGACGTTGTGACATGGTGTGAGCATATTGTGATGTTCCCACAGCTACGTGGCTCCATTGGTGACAAACAAGCAGCCCCGTTGTGTGTTTTTGGTACCTGATGTCATCACAACGAGCCCCACTGGTGCATGACGTCTTCGAAATTGACACTGTTGCCTGATGTTATGCTAGTCCTGATTGTGAAAATTGGCTCTCTCTGTGGGTGAAAAATGTCACTCTAAACAGCCACAAGATGATGAAAGGTGTACAGTCATCAGCAAGCTTAACATGAACCCTCTGACGCGTGACCTGGACTAGTTTGACAAATGGCAGCCACGAAGTGCTGGGCGCTGTTGCCAAGATAATACCTCGGTATACTTGGATAGTATGTACGCATGCATGGGTAACATCTCGGCAATAGAACCCAAAGCTACATTGCGCTAGCATCAATCAAATTTGTTCAAGACATACTGCAGAGTGTTCACGTTAAATTCATGACGACTGTACATGTAAGGTACTCAGGAATTCAAATGCCACACTTGCTTTTTTTAGTATTACGACTGGTATGCTCAATTGCTCGAGATAATCACACCATGCTGCAACGTATCTGGTCTCTATAGATAACTATGATCTATGCGTTCGAGTTGGAATTGTGCTGTTGTGAGCGGAACTAAAGACAATGGAAATGAAATTGTTTACCTTACTTAACCGTAAATTGTCTTGTTTCAATCCTTGAGTACTGTATGTCATTGCCTTTATGTTTAAAATGTGCACTTTTCTCAATCGTTTTTCTTGCACTGATATGTCTCTGTTTTTTTTTTTCTAATGCATCGGTGCGCCGGCTAGTCTTGGTTTCGTCCTTCAGCTGCTCACTGCGCCCGCAAAAGTGATCACTTTCTGGTTCAGAGTCTTTCAAAAGGTGATCTGCATTGGTTACTACTACCTCGTTCATTCCATTCCCGGTACACGGCTTTTTCTGTGCAGGCGCTGACTGACACAAATGCTGTCATCACGTTTTCTGTTTTGGGGACAACCGGTCTTGCTTTGTAGACAATGAGACAAATTAATATTGTAGGCTTTTTTTGCTGCATTCTGGACGTGCTTACAACTACACAGTTTTTCTCAGTGTACTTACCCGCACAATTTGCTTGCACTAAGGAAGTGCGCGCCAATTTCTCTTCCCCAAGTGACTGTAGTGACTCCTCCGAATTGCCGCTTGACTGCTGAATCAGAATCTGATTCAGTTAATGACAGCCCGCCATACGACTGGTTAATACTACAATGTGATGAGCGACATCTCAAAAGTGAGCTTGACTTGACGATGCTAACGGGAGGAAAAGTGACCCTCTGTGTTTCTAGTTGATGCCACTTCGCGCACCTATTTTTGTATGTCTGGGAATTACACATATGTTTCTTGCAATGCATAATGTTTTTTTTTAACAGTTGTATGAGCTTATTTTTTTCCTTTCTTCGAATTTACCTTGCTGCCGTATGTGTAACAACAAAAGAAATTTTTTTTCACTTTACGGTCACGTAAAAAAAAAATGTAGACACTTTTTTTTTCTTAAAGAAGTACTGACACAAAATTTCAGTATTTTCATCTTGTTGCTCTAAATAAAAACTGATGTCGACAATGCTAAATACTATGTCATAGTGCTTGGGAATGCATTGAGTATACCGTAGTTACTCGCATAATAGGTGCCCTGGCATCAAGCTCGATCGGAGTACGGCATTGCGTGGGGTAAAATTTTTGAATATTTTATTTACAGTTATAACATGGACCGCTGATAATGTATGTAGCCTAAGTCATGATATCCACACGACAGTCAGAAACAACCTTCTTTACCGACTACACTAGAACAAAACTCGTTGAGCATGCAGTTTTGTGTGTTCGAGAATCATGGCATATGCATTGCGGTGTGCTTACAAGCATTCAAATTTCCAAAAATTAACATCAAAAGACTTGCGTTGCCGACAAAATGAACGTGGGAAAAAAATATAGAAAAAGCGTTATCGCAAAAATTCGCAGATTACGTTTCAGGCCACCTAGATTATGCGCATTATGACGATAGAAATTTCGTACACTAAACTGTAGCGAATGTTCATTTCATGGCTTCACACCCCATTACCAAAGATACTGCAATCGAATCCCAAATGACCATTTGAGTGTTACAAGTGCCACCCATGCCCTCTTTTCTTCAAGTAGAGCCATCGCAAACAGTTACGTTGATGCCGTGCAAAACCGCAACTTTGATCACCCGCGACCACTACTAAGAAAGCAACAAACGCTGCTCAGGCTTAGTCTACGGTTCGACATCTTGTCACAGGAAGCTTGTATGAGACAACATGAAGATCGGGCGTCGAAAAGATCATGCTCAAGCA